AAAAAAAAAAAAACAAACCAAACTACATGAACCAAATTCCATGTCGCCACGAGTCTAAAATGCTAAGCCAAATTGTATGTCTTCATAAAACACATTAAAGTTTGATAAATCCCAAAGATGGTGAAAACAAAGCACATATTGTCTTGAGATGGTGACAAATGACAATATATATATTGGACAATTATTGGCCCTTACTAACATTAAACATTAACATTCTATCAGTCAATAAAATAATTTTCAATTATTAAAATAAATTATCGCATACAAAAATGTAGTTAGTAGACAAGATTAAAAAAAAAAAAAAAAGACTAAAATTTTGTACATTATGTTGACCTTCGAATCCGACAAGACCCAACTATCGACATATTTGAGCTCCTCTATTGCTTGCATATATGTTACTTGTACACTTGAATACTATGTTAGAATGTAGAAGATAGTAGCTTTGGAGGGATGCAACGATTGCATGCACTTTGACACTCAAGTTAGATGAAGGAGAATATTTAGGTGTGAAAAAGACAATGGATGAAAAAATGAGCGCCGAATATGAGATTTCTATTCTACCACTACAAGAATTTTATGTTTTCCCTACAAAATTTATTTGTGGGAAAAAATCTTTGTAGACAAAAATGAATTTTAGGGACATTTGTTGGACAAATATTGAGGGGATAGACTTTAGCCTACAAAATTTTGAAACTTGTGAGCAAAAGTTTTTCCCTACGAACCCTTTGGAGGCTAATACAATACGTCGGGTAAGTTTTCCCTCAACAAAATCATTCATCTGCTAAAGTTAATTTTGCCTACAAAAAGATTTCACTTTTCCCTACAAATTATGTTGTGGGCTAAATCTTGCTCTTCCCTACAAAAATTATTTTGTGTGTAAAGAATATTTGTAGGCTAAAATATATACATTTTTCCAACAATTAAAAATTTGTGACAACATGATACATATTATTTTGTAGGTTAAACCCTGATTTTCTCTACAAATAATTTTTCGTAGAAAATTATATTTGTAGGCTATTATGAAAGAATTCGTAGGGAGAAATTAAATTATTTTTATATATTTTTTATATTCTAGTAATTTTTTAACAACATTCAAAATAATATAAAGATACAAAAAAACAAAACAATAATTCAATTAAGACATGTAGTGTCAATCAATGTAATATTGAATCCAAAATATTTTAAGAAAATATAAATAAAAATCATTGAGTAAGTATGGTTACACCTGGACATAAAACATTCTTTGTATCTATTATTATGCATCTAAAAAACATAACTGTTCATCCTCGTAAATTAGATATTCAACTGATCCTCTCCAATGTTGTTCTCTTTGTCCTCATGAATAGCATCATTTTTTCTCAATGATGTTAATCTCTATTGACAATAGTGTAAATGATGTACCACGAAGCCAGGAACTTTACAACGTAACTGATGCATAGAGTGATGCCAAGACTACAGAATAGAATTGAATAGTTGCTTAACAACCTTTAGCTTGTTATGTATCCTTTGCTCCATATTCACTCGAGCAGCACATTCTGCTTCTAACTCCTCCATATTGCGTACATTGGAAGATGTCTTAATGTCTCAAAGGTAACCATCTTTCAGCCTACGAATTTGATGTCCGGGCTTTGCACTTAGAACGGACATCATGATATTAAGTCCAACCTTAGGATTATCTATAGGTATTCCTCCAAAGGGATATCTTCGGGAAGCTAGTGATCATTTACCTTCTTTACAAGATATTCATATTTTTTTACAAGCATCTCATCCTACAAACACAACCCATATATAATTAAAATATGCAAGAGATATAATATAGCTATACACCAGTAATATAGCACATGATAATCAATATAAAAGTTATAGCGTTGAGTCTTTCTTAAGTGTTGAGCCTTAGCTGCAGTATAAGTATAATATTTATTATTTCCTGCATAAGCGAACTCAAAGGTGTCGACTTCAGAAAACCTTGTATCGTCCTAATAGTTAACAATTATGTTTCAAACACTATATTCAAATTATTAGCAAAATTATTTACTTAAGTACATATTGATAACATATACATTCATTACCTTTATCATCTCTTTCACTACGTATGAGTAAGGATGTGAACCGATATGATGACTGTTCTTTCTGTTCAATTGGTTCATTATATCCATTGATGATGCTTTCTGCAAAGAAAAGAATATAGATATCACATAACAAAATTAGGAGTACAATGAATATGAAATCATGAGGCTAAAGCAAGATGAATGATTGAGTAAAGCATGAATACATACTCTGATATATGGGTGAAATATAGTAAAGTCCCTCTAACAAACAACAGACTTGATCACCACATAAAATGAAGTGACGCAATGGGGGAATAATTTCCATTAATTATTCCAAAAACCAGGAAATTTAACTATTCCAAAATCCATGCAATTTAAACATTCCAAAATAATTTTGTCATATCCATTAATTCCCTCACTTCCAAAAACCAATAAATCAACTTTCCACTTCCCACCATCTAAATCCCACAACATTCCAACTACTTCAATCAGTTTCCCAAAAGATAAGTTTCTACTAGAAAATACTGCATTTGGCCTAAATTCACAATGAAAGCTCTATTCAACATCCATCACAAAATAAGAAAATATTAATTGCAAGACAGACTAGAAATTCTGAATTGAAAACTATCATGCTTATTGTAACACTTATGGCTCCAACACTTTTAAGAATTCTATATGACTGGATGGATGTAAAAAATTGTGTAGTAGATGAAGGTCATGGAGTTAAGGGTCTTTCTCATATAGTCCTTCAAACATTACCTCAGCAATATATTTGTTCAACCTCCTCGAGAACATATCTCTACCAGCACTGTACTAACTAAGGAGTCCATTCCTGTCATCGACGTGTCAAACCCAAATGATCAAGTGGTGCTAGATATGATATGCAATGCAGTAGAGAAAAGAAGGTTTCTTTTAGATTAACAATCCTGGGATACAAATGATAGTGTTGGACAATATAAAGAAAGCAACTTGTAAGTTATGGGACAATCTTTTCTTCTCAAGCAGAGAACGCTCTAGAGTGGAAAGATTGGCTTAGCCTCTTCTATGTTTCTGATGAAGAGCTTGCTACATTTTTGTCTTCCATATGCAGGTTACACTATGAACTTTTGCTGCATCATTATCTAATACAAATGTTTCATATGTGTATGTCATCATGCAGTTTACATATTAACAGTAGCAAAGTCGGCCTTATATGAATCAACTTCAGTTTCTAGCTCCCAAAGAAAAAATTACTTAACCAACTTTTAACCCAAAAACAAGTAAAAAAGACATTAACTCCAAACAAAATTACAAATTTTCCAGTACATGTATTTGAAACATAATCCTGAATTGCTAGAGTATAAGAACCAAGTTACTAATAAGTTGAACTTCTCTCTTATCAAGATTATCATAACTAAAATCCCCACAACATAACAATACAATTCAAACAATAATAAATCAAAGGCCAAAAACAAGTATATTGAACTATAGTCGTGCTTTAGCTCATAATTTTTTCCAATTCCTTTTACTAAATCCTATATCTAATATACTTCAACTCTCTCTGAAAATCTAATGATAAAACAAGATCTATAATTCAACATTGACATATTTCAAGAAAGACGAAAACCGACAACCAAGATTGAATCGACCGATAGTAAAACTAAACCAAATCCGTTCATTCAAGACTTCAAATTCATCAGTTTAAATCAGAAAATAAATAGGATTGAAGGGCATACCTTGAAGACTGCTTGACGAAGAACACGAATCAATGAAATTAATTAGAACCTAAAGTAGGCCTACAAACCAGACTTAAGGACTTTATACCCTATAATCCGTGTTTCTACCAAGCGGAAGAAAAATAGATATTACAAAAGAAAATTACTAACGACATTAATATTCATAAAGCAATCCAAGGAAAAGTACAGAAGTATGAATTATATATCGATAAACCCAAAAATCTATAAATTACTTACCCATATTGTTTGTATTCAGAACAAATCACTAGCATTTCAAATTGTTGCTTCAAATCTCGTCTCTTCGTATTATTGAAGGTGTAGGTCGTTTCATCTTTACCTTGTATATGATCGAGATTCTTCTTCAATTAAAGAAAGCGAAAACGTTTCATCTTTACTTGTATATGAGATTATTCTTCAATTAAATAAAGAGGCACGGAGGGAAGATTTTTTTTGCCAAAATTTTCTGAAGGCAAAATTTTTGGAGTAGGAAAGACTTGGGTTCTGTGTATTTATGGGTTTTCTTAAATTTAAAAATATTGTTAACAAAAAAATAATTATCTTTTCTATAAATATATTTTTTTAGTTATCTTTTCGCTTCAAATTATATTTTGTAGGGACTAAAAATACAAATAGTAAAAAGAAAATTTTTCCGCTAATTATTAGCCTACAAACACTTTAATTACTTTTTTTGGCAAAAGATATAATTTTACCGTCCAATTTTTTTGTCGGGAAAAAATGCAATTTTTCGTGGGTACAAGTCTAAAATTTTGAAACAAACCATAGCCCTACGAAACATTATTTTTGTAGGAAAAAGTGAGTTTCTCCTACAAAATTTAATTTGTCTCCCAAAAATTTGTAGAAAGAGTATAACTTTCTTGTAGTGTACGTCAAGTTCAATTACCTTAGAGAGCGAGAGAAGATCGCAGAGCATTTTTAGGTGAAAAGGTCTTTCTAAATGCTTGATACATGGTCTTATCCTAACAGTTTACTTATCAATTGCAAGTGTGTAAATCCAGAGCCATCATAAGCCCTTGGTCTCCATAGCTTGAATTTAGTCTAAACAGTTGCATCATCTGCATATCAATTTGTATAGTGTACCTTCTGCAATTTGGCTTAGGCAGGACGAGGCAAATGTTTATCGCTTCAAGTAACAACTATTATGGTCAAGGTACCTAACGACATGGCCTAATCATCTCAAAAATGCCTGTTGAAGAGGCAATGTGAAGCAGAGTTCTAATCTTGCTCGAGTTTTTGCTTCTGGCTGTCAAATGTTTTCTGCCTCATAAACCTATGCAACACATTGTAAGCATGCTGAATCTAGTACTATAGAGTTAAGACCCTTGTACAGGGTGGTTTGTCAGATAGGAAGTCCAGTAGCAGCACTGTATTGGATGTTGAACAAAAAAATAGACTTAAACAGACTAATACAATGCTGTCACCTGTCATTTTGTCTAATTGCCTAGCAAATCCACATGTAGCATGATTCTGTACCATATACTCGATTGGGAAAGAAAAATGTTATATTCTTGTTTCTTGATTAGGCTAGGTTTCTCGACTGTCTAATTAATGAACTACGCTTTTTCACAAACACACATCCATTTGTTGCATAAATCATTGAAAAGGAACATGTTCAGTAGATTTAATGTGAATTATTTTGTCTGTTCATCATCTTAAGTAGATAGTAATTAGTTGACCACAAAATAATAGAATATCTGAGGGAACTGGAGTGTTGAACTGTATTAGATAGGCAATGTTTTTGAGGTTTCCAAAGGAACTAAAACAATAATTAACAAGACCAAATTTTAAATTCATTACACCTTAGTCCTTAATTTTCATTTTCCATTGATAAATGCCAATTTTTCTTTTCTTTCCACGGGTGTTTTTATACATCTAGCATTCGTTCAACATAATTTATTTGAATTCTTTTTTTTTTTTTCAAATCCATTTTCATCACACAGTGTCCCGATAAAATAATTTTAGAGTTATGTTACACGTACAGTAGATTGTCCATAATGGTGTCCACCCATTTCACATAGAGGGGACCCACTTCAAATATAATAAAATTTATTCGAAGTGAGTCCTCTCCATGTGAACGGGATGGATACCGTTATGGATATCGTATTATATACAGTAGCATCTTCCATAATTTTATAGGGCAACTTACAAAAATATCTTTATAATTATGTCTTTTCAAAAATTATATGAAATTTTTTGGAAGTAAAAAATACTGTATAAAATTAAACACTGTCACTTTTTTATAAAAATTGTCGGTTTTTTTTTTATATTTTATTTTTAAGTGACACAATGTCACTTTTAAAAGTTTAGTATCACTTTTTTAGTGAAAAATTACATACAATGTCACTTTTATTAAAAAATGATGTTTGTCAATAAAAAAATGATAGAAATTTTAAAAAAGTGATTGAAAAAATTGACAAAAACTACAAAAAAAGTGACAATTACTAAAAAAAAGCAACAAAAATTCAAAAAAAGTGATAGAAATTAAAAAAGGGTGACAATTTAAAAAAGAACGCAAATTAGAAAAAGTTACACAGATTCAAAAAAGTGACAATTACTAAAAAAGTGAAAGAAATTCAAAAAAAGTGATAAATTTAAAAAAAAAAAGTTACACAAATTCAAAACAAGGGACAAAAAAAAGTGACAAACACTCAAAAATTTACAAAATAAATAAATAAATAAAAAGCGACAGACATTCAAAAAGTGATGAAATTCAAAAAGGGTGACTAATAATAAAAAAAAGTGACAAACACTCATTGAATAATTAGTATGGAAGATTAAGCAAAATTAGCCAAAATGCTCAACATTTTTTAACACCAACTTGTGTAAGTCATGAAAGCACCCTTAAACTTCTATCTAGATTGTAATTACGCTGGGGAACCAGTGATAGTTTGGATGATTAAGCTAGCCAAAAGTTTAATTCATACAGTGTCATTAACACAACACAATTTAGTCATCAGTTAGCTCGTTGGTGGGTTCTATACTTATGCGATGATAGATAAATAGTGATAAATTAGCCAAAACTAACTTAATATTTTGTAGGAGCTACAATAAATCGAAGTTTTTTTGTTGCTACTGGGGATTATAGATGCAGCAGCTGCAACTACCAACATTAACATTAGAACAAATATTGTAGAAGCAAGTCGGTAATAAACATTTTGTTCATTAATATATCATAAAATGGAAAACCCTTTTTCTAGAGAAGGGCAGGAGAAAGTTTTGAATGCACTTACTCAGAATCTCAGACAAAACTTAGAAAATTGCTTTTGCGATTCCCAATTGAGAACGGTACTGGCTAGGAAATAAGAGATCCATTACGATCCTCACTTCCTTCAACGTCATTCCCCCAAATCCCATTGCCACTTCTTCTCCATGCAACCAACACAATCTCCGTTCCTCATCTTTCTCCATTGCCATCTATATTACCAACAGATCCAACCCTAAGCACAAACCCAAGCCATTTACTACTACATCTCTACTTCTATTTGCTGTTCGGTGAGACAGTCGAAGAAAGTTGAGGCACTATGTCAAACTAACATCGAAGCTGGTGGACTGGTGATTCGAGGACATTTTAATGATAGCAGAGAGCGTGATGGTTTTGGGGTTTATGGGTAGAGAATTTGTTGGTTGGCTAAATGTGACCAGAGAAAATTTATGGATGAAGGCAGAGATTTTGGAGAAACTAACTGATATAGTTTGATCAGTTTGGGGTTTTATAAACATATTAATTACGGTTATAATCATTTTTAGAGTATAAATCTAATTTGATATTTTTTTTAGAGTAGCGAGTCTAATTTACTCATTTTTATACGTGAACCCATAATTTTCTTTACTGTTTAACTACACGTTCTAAAAAGATAACTTTTACCTTAAAATCTCTTCCAAACAAACTCTTATTCTTGAGACATGCATTTTGTGGTCCAGTGAAATCGATCCAAATTGCATGCATGCATGCATTTAAGGATCAAATGAATTAAATGATGAGCCACTTAGTTATGAAGATATTAAAATCCTACTCGAACCATTCTTTAAAAACAATATTTTTAAATAATGATTTGATATCATTTCAATTAGGGAAATGCTATATGTATCAAATCATTTACCAAATGGATGATCGAACTGACAAGTGTCACGCTCTTATTAGAGTGGACAAGCGCCCCTTCAATAGGGAGCACCACTTGTCAATTCGGTCAAAAATTAGGTAAGACATTTGGTACAAATAAATTAATTCTTTCAATTATACATTCTTCAATAAAATAATATTATACGAAAATCTAAAACTTTTTCTCATTTTTTAACCACATATTTTTTATCAATTTACCATTCCAAAATAGATTCTTTTAAAATAACGTGGTTAAAACACACACTAAAATGTCATGTTTTCAACACCGTTCATAAGTTTTTGAAATACTATTGTTATAATGAAATTATTAACATATGGTTGGTGGTAGTCAAATTAGGAAACTCAAAACATTTTCCCTTTATATGGTATTTTTGTTTTTTGTTTTTGTTTTTAATTGGGTTTAATTAATTGAACATGATGAGACCATTTTGCTCTTTTATTAATTGTCAAATAAAGGTTAATCTTTTATTTTTTTTGGTCAACCAACAGTTCTTTGGAAGGTTTTTGTACAAATGACCTCTCATTGTCTATTAAATTTAAGGTTTGGGACTTTGCACACAAAAATGAAAGGTTTAGGAAAGGGAAGGAGCCAGACATTTTCTATTGTGGGGTCAAAAATGAAGAAGACGCTCGAGTGAAATTCTAATGCTCCAAGGACGATAGGCTTCCGTCATTGGTGCTAAGCGTCTTCTTCTGGTCTTGTTTAGCGCCCTAATGGCAATTTACAACAGTGCAATGCATATTACAAAATTAAATCAACTCACAACACTAAGTAACAAAAACTCAAGTTACAACACAAACCCCAATGATGAGAAACAAATTTGGATGAAAAAGGTTTAAAGGAAAAAAGAAGAGGAAATCAAATATAAACACTAAACCTATAATTTCAAACATTCCGCTAAAGTCAATTGCAACGTCAAAATTTCATATCGTCAATCACGAATAATAACATCAAAAAGTAAAAGGAGAGAAAATCAAATATAAAACCATTACATAAAAACGAGCAAAACTTATATGCCAATAAACTTAGATATATTTTGACAGCATTATTTCAAAGTAAATAATGAACAAAATCTAATTTTTAT